TAAGAGAAAGATTTTAGAAATTTCAACTAAAAGCAGTACTAGCTGCTCAGTCAATGAATACCAAATGTTTCTTAATAGATAAACGGCTAATATTATCATTAACATTACTATTATTATATTCAAGAGTTCGTCAAAACCTTTATTATGCTGCCTATATATCTATATATTTACGGAGTTTGAACTCTTGTTTAATAAAAGTTACTAATTTCTGAAAAGCATCCACAAAAATACGTAAATTCTGTAAAGGAAATTTTTTGTCTTTACGTTAAAAATAAATATAAAAATAAAAGAAAAAACATTTGAATCATTTTTTCTTTTCCTTTTCCCGAAAATATCGGCAGAGCAAATTTAGACAATTCTATTTTTACAGCTTGCATTTTATTTGTCGCCAAAATATTCATAGTGAAAATGTTAACAATTCTATTTTTACAAATTGCATTCATTTTCGCATGAGTGACCTTAGAATAACATGAATCCATTTTTCACATCCATTTATATATTAAATAGTATAGTAGACTGTACTCTCTAACCTTATATGACAGTCCATTCTATGTGAAAGAAAATATTGAACCTTGGAGAAGACAGCAAGAAAGCACTCCACTAATTCTCTCAAGAAGTCATGACAATTCACAATAAATGTTACCTGTAGATTGCCATGCTCGCCTACGTCTTCATGGGGCGTAGTATTTTTTTTTTAATACTTTAGTAGAATATAAATGTAGTGTACTTAAAAATAGAATTGGCAACCCGAGTTTAAATGCTGACTGAATCTTTTGCATTCATTTTCACACTAATGTATTTGGGAAGGCAGGAATCTATCTATACTATCACCAGCTAGAGAATAAATACCAATGTAGTTTAATCTCTGGAGCTTTGGAAACGACAACTTCAATTCAAAACAGTGGGGGAGTCAACTGGAAAGTATTTCACTATTTGTCCTAAAAGCTATGTTATTTTGCATATATTAAAAATTAGGAAGATTTGGAGAATCATTAGCACAGAAAGTGGGATCACTGAGCTGAATTTAAATACTCGCTTCGGATACTGTTTTATTTTTTTTTAAATGCGTTTTGGATAACCTCAAATATATCTAATTTATTTGTAGCTCTGGATTAAATAGCAGTTTAGACTAGTTCGTCTAAACTTGGGTGGCAACCAGTCTAGGAGAAGGACAACTCAGAATTCAAAACCGTTGAGAAGGTAAACAACCTCATTATCTTTTCCAAGAATTTACATTATTTACATTTGTCCTCATATTGCCATATGCACGACGTTTCGGCCGTTGTACGCTCCGGCCTTCTTCAGGTGGTTGGAATTTCGAATTGAACCCTTTATTTTGTCCACCGGAGAAGATTGTTCTAGTTCCACGTGCCATGCCATGCCTCTTTCAGAAAACCTCAGTTTCATTTCCAATTATTACCCCTTAGTAACTCAACTCTCCAAGTTTTTGTTCACCTCTGCTGTGGTCAGGCTTTGAACTTGTAGGGGTTTCAAACATCGGGAGGTTCCAAACATTCATGTAGGGAGGTAATTTTTATCACGGCAAAATACAAAACTGTTTTTTAACAAACAATCTTCATTTTAGTGTATAACATACAAAGCAATCAAGTGTGCGATTTTTATTTAGTAAGAATTTAAATTAATAGCAGTAGTTAGTCACCTTTAAGTGCTATTGGACTTTAAGGAATATATATATATATATATATATATATATATATATATATATATATATATATATATATATTTATCTGGACTCACAGGAAAGATTTCAGTTCAATAAATAATACTAAGTTTCAATGGAAAGGATGTTCTTCGATAAGAAGGTGTTGTAGGCTGAAATTCAGTGTAAGATGACATTATTTACATTATTCAAGGACACATGGCACTGTGGATAAAAGCGTTAGTTAGATCCAGTGTCAGGACCCAAAGGGTGTGAGTCCAATACCCAGTTAAGGCAGTGGATAACCTTCAGAGTGAAATTAACATGGCCCGTGGAACTAGAACAGTTTACCCAGTGAGCGAAATAAAGGGTTCAGTTCGACATTCCAAGCACCTGAAGAAGGCCGGAGCGTACAACGGCCGAAACGTTGTAATAAATATGGAGACAAAGATGAGGACAATAGTCCGAATAATGTAAATAGCGTACATAATACCTCATCTCAGAAATATAGACAGATAGTGTAAGATGAGTTCAAAGAAATTTGTTGATTGAGAGAAAATGTAATTTTCACTTGAACCTCGAAAAATTGAGTTAACTTGCCGCTTATTGTTGTTCATCGAAGTGAGTTGAATATGAGTGAAAGAATTCTGGAAAGATGAGAATATGTCGAATCATAACTTATAGTTCCAGAAGATTTTGAAGTAATATTTCTAGCTGGTGAATATTGACAGGAGGCAAAAGTTGTAAAGTTGAATAAGTTTCTGTATAAGGAGTGAATGAGATGAATTCAGAGATGTTCAATGTTCATACGTACGTTCGCGCGCGCGTTTGTGTATGTGCATGTGCATGTGTCATAGCGTTTGCCCTTAAGTGACAAACGTATTCTCTTTAACGCTACATCTTTTGTATGTGAGGGAAATACCAATGAGAAAGAATTGTAGCTGTCGTTCGTATTTATTTACTTCCAAATCACGTGATCGGCTCCAGGTTTGTTTTGGGTTTTTTTTTTTTGGGGGGGGGGTTCGGAAAACACGAATGCGTAAGCGTCGAACACATTTGAATATTTATTTACCAATCAACTGTCAGTAAACTAGTCAGATAAGATTTAACCTCTGTAATTGTTATAGAGTAGTTTCATAGTGGAGGCTTGTATTTCACTAAGTCGGTCCTAAAAAGGTTCGACGTACAAAACGTTAGGGACTTGATATAATAGTTAATGACGCAGCAATCTAGTTGTGGTGGTTGATACTTTAATGTCCGACATCGACTGACTCACCAACTCCACTGAGCTCCCTGGCGACTGCTACTATTACTACTTATTATATCTGGGAGAGTCTATTTACAATAAAATAGGTATGTTCCACTATAACAGTAATCCACTTTTTTACGGATTTTGTCAATCGCAGTACTGTTACATAAGAAATGTATTGGAATCTTTTTCAACCAATGGAATTAATTAGATTACAAATAAAATATTAAATTCAATTAGAACACTAAAAACTCACAGCTCTTTGGGTCACGTCACTGGATTTCTTCAGCTAAAGCTTTTATCCGTTGGGTAAAAAGAATTTGTAGAGAGAAACGGTCGTCTACATCCTAAATGGGCATAGAATCAAGAAAACAGAGCAATCTGGTAAAGTTACTGAATCGTACGTTACATATTCGTAATTAATTAAAACGCAAGCAGTTTTATAAACGATCATAAGTTTTATTGCTTGTATTTATTTAGCCCAAAGCTGAGCTCAACGAATAGCGACTTTATTCTATCGTGTTTTTTTTAATTATTTTTACAAATGATTATGTTGCTATGAAATAAATTAGAGGCGACTATTGTACTAAAACATATTATATGCATAAGCCTATTTTTCGAAATGATCGCATGATTAAGTACAAGTCATCATTATCAAAATAGCTACATTGTCTTCCTAGGAATATTATGACAGCTAAAGATTTTTTTAAAAAATTAGAAAATACTTGATGTACGTACTTCGTCTCTTCATTATCAGCTGCAGAAAAAAAAAGATTGATCTTAGGTAATCATTGCGTACTGCTTTATTGATATTTTCACAACCACTGAACAGTAACGCTTTACATTTCCTCAATATCCTCACAATTAAATATTCGTGATAAACATTTCTCTGAAAAGTTTTATGTTTGTTTTCTGAAGCGATTATTGTACGAGGAAATGCTGAAATGTTCAATAAGGGATTAAAAAAAGTTCTGGTGTTTGCTCATCTGGTTAGGTTTGTGAAGAATGTTCCGCCGAAAATTTTTCACGATTAATTCGTACATCTTTCAATTTTGCTTTGAAATATGTACAATACAAAACAGGAAACATGTCACCATCACTATTAGATCTAAACACAGATAATGATAGCGATAGATTTGTTATTTGCTATAATCATTGTTATGGTGGTAGCTAACATTTATTTTGTTATTGTTGTAGGTAACTTTTGTTGTTTTTTTTATAGTGGTGCATTTTTTGTTGTGTTGTTGGCTAACTATTTTTTTAATGGATCCGGCTAACTTTGTTTTGCTATGAACGTGATTAACTATTGTTTGGTCATGATAATGGCTAGTTTTGGGGGGGGGGGTTTATTATGGTGGAAGCTAATTTTTATTTGGTTATGTTGGTAGCTATCTTTTGTTTGGTTATGGTGGTGGCTAATTTTTTATTTATGACGTAGGCTAACTTTTGTTTGGTTATGCTGGTGGATAACTTTTTGATTATCATGGTAGCTAACTTTTGTTTGGTTATGTTGATAGCTAGCTTTTGTTTTGTTATGTTGGTGATTAACTTTTGTCTGGTTATAGTAGTGGTTAATTTTTGTTTATTTATGGCGGTGGCTATCTTTTTTGTCTTAGTAGTGGGTAACTTTTTTAGTTATGGGGTGGCTAATTTATGTTCATTTATGGTGGTGGCTAATTTATGTTCATTTATGGTGGTGGATAATTTATGTTCATTTATGGTGGTGGATAATCTTTGTTTAGTTATGGTGCTGAGTAACTTTTGTTTAGTTTTGTTGGTGGCTAATTTTTGTTTCGTTATGGTGGTGGCTAACTCGTTTTTGTTTGGTGGTATCTAACTTTTGTTTTGATGATAACTAATCTTTTTGTATTTATTTTTTAAGTATCTTGAATCTTCGTGGTTATAATGTGTTGAAGGTGCAAACGCATTGTATTAAAAAATGTTGGGCTCATGCTAATCCTTTAATAATGAGGCCGTATCGAATTATAATTCGATGTATCGTATTAAAATTGTAATTACGATTATGTCTGTTGTTTAGGAAAACGTGTTATCTTTTAGCTTTTTATCAAAAATTCATTTGTGCGCACGTCATCAGTAGGAAATTTTCAAAAGATCAATTGGTGTATTGTGCCTTGAAAAGCGCGTACGTTTTGTTTTCTTTTTATGTAATGAATAAAAGTGCAACAACAGAATTCTGGATTTCCTGCATGGAAGGTAGAAAGAAAGAAAGAAAGAAAGAAAGAAAGAAAGAAAGAAAGAAAGAAAGAAAGAAAGAAAGACATTCAATAAATTAATAAAAGAAAGAAGCCATTCAATAAATGAATAAAAAAAGAAAGAAAGAAAGAAAGAAAGAAGACATTCAATAAATAAAAACTTAACGAAAGAAAGAAAGAAGACATCCAATAAATGAAAAACTTAAAGAAAGAAAGAGTGAAAGAAAACCATTCAATAGGTGAAAAACTTAAAGTAAAAAGGAAAAATGAAAGAAAACATTCAAAGAAAGAAAGAAAAATTAAAGAAAGAAAGAAAATAGAATTTGTCATGTCCTGAATGGGAGAAAGAAAGAAAGAAATACATTCAATAAGTGGGAAATTTACTAAAAAAAAAAAAAGAAAGAAAGAATGAAAGAATTAAATGAGTAGAAAATTTAAAGAAAGAATGAAAACATTCAATAAGTTTCAAACAAACAATGGAATAAAGAAACAAAGAATATATTCAATAAGTGGGAAATTTAAAGAAAAAGAAAGAAACAAGATATCCAATAAGTGGAAAATTTTAAAAAAAGAAAGAAAAGAGTGAAAGATTGAGAGCAAATTATTGACAACAAGGAAGTTAAATAAATAAATAAAGTTGTGTGGTGGGAGCAGGATGCGTAGTGATGACAGGCTTTATTGGCATTGCAAATTTTTCATCAAATACAAAAGTTCATAGTCGACATAATGAGTCATCAAGAAATCGTATAATAACTGACCAAGCCTTTTTACCCTGTCTCAACATTTCATACCCTACAGAAAATTACTGTCTGTGAATCCTGGTTAGTTTTCATTAGACGAGTCCAAATGATAATGCGTATGTTCGTTCGATCTTTATAACATACTGACACTAACCGAGTGCGCATGCGCCCGCGCAGAACGCGGGTGAAAAAAGAAACACAAAGATGCGCGTCGGTTTCGCAAAACCATATGAACGTGTGCATGTATGCAGACGCCGGTTTTAACATGAACAGTCTCCTTGTGTGACACTCGTGCACACTGAAAAGGGTCTTCAACCAACCATAACGAAGTTGATTAAAACATTGGGTTCATACACATAAACGAACACGCGTACTTTGGCATGTATTCGAAACTGCCATGCATGTACTTACACATTCTAGCTTGTTGTAAGAGCAGATGTTTACATTTTACTCTTTAATAAACGCGTACACTGTGTACTTCATACAGTATACGTGTGTGAGATATGTGTGTGTGCTTGACTGATCCGTTTTCTATGATTTATCAACGCTTTGCAATTTATTTAAAACCAGAACATATATTTAGACTATAAGAATTTTTTAAATATAATAACAGTTTAGAAATACAAGTCTTACTAATTAACCCATAGCTGGTGAGAGACGAGGTGGATTCATGCCTTTCTAAAGAGTAATTGCGCGTAAATAAATATAACGAACCCAACTGGAATTCGAACTCGTTTCTACGATTGACAATTCAAAGCCACTATCCATTACCTCAACCGTACATCCAAGCTTACAGCACTTGTTATTCCCTAGTGGTCAACCATCTAGGTACTGAACAAGATCGACGTTACTTAATTTCGGTGATCGTATCGGAAATATGGGTGTGTCTTTACTTCTTCATCAGACATGCATAATTTTGTGGTATGGTTCCTCTATCAGATCTACACATTCAGTTGAGGAGGTGGTTTCTTATGAAGAAGAAAATGAAGGAGGTTGACAACAGATACACAGTTTTCTATTGGAGAGGAAGGTGATTTCCTGGAGTTGTTTGATGACATACCGTAATCCCCCATGTATAATACGCATTTTTTTCTAAAAAAAAAAGAAAGAAGCAAAATCAGGGAAGCGTATTATGCACAGCTACAAAAAAATCTTTTAAAAATTGCCATTTCAAAGGTCGATTTCAGATTGCGAAATGAGTACTCACCACAAACATACGACACTTTGACACTAACATTCGGCGATTGCGACCTCAAAATGATGTCAAATACAATCATATGTACTTAACAATACTTACAAATGTAAAATAAAATAAGAATTATCATAAAACTAAATTAGAATAATATTATTCTATGTGGAAAACCATTTTTAATAAGAGTAGCAAACGCTGATCATAATGAAAATTGGAGAGGTACAATTTATAGGGTTTCATTACCAAATAAGGGATGCGTATTATGTGTAAGTAGAAGCATTTTCCCACACTTTCAGCTCAATTTTAGAGGTGCGTGTTATAGATGGAGGCGTATTATACATGGAAAATTACGGTATATGTCATAATTACATACTTTACCAGAACGAAAAACAAAGTGTGTTATGTGTTGTATTTCATAAAAAGATGATAGCCTAGTTAAGACAATGTTCATTAGTATTTTCATCAGAATGGATTCAAATGAGATACTTTTATACGAATGGGGGTCTTGGAGATTACCTTTCTGTTTCCATAATGCATTAATGATCCTTAAACACCACTTTTCAAGATGCGTTTTTGAATACAAACTTACTTCATTAAATTGAAAATACATATATATAAATTAATGCCATTGACAGAAAGTATATACATATATACATACAGTTTAATACATACATACATTTTAATGCTATACTCAGAATACACATACATACATGATAGTTGCCATCTCGTTATCGAACATGGCCATCACACAACATTTCATAAAGACAGCGGTGCCACGAACGGATATAACTTAAACCCGGCCACTGATGTGCAATTGTTTTCCCCAAACCCAGCAGCTGTGACCAGTCATAACATTAAGTACGTTTTCTGGCAATACTGTTGTGATTCATTATAATACTCACGTCTTTTAAGGCTACGAACATTCATAGTTACCACCCAGAACAGATATCCTAAAATATCGTGCAATGTCTGTTAATGAAATTTTAAAGTGAAGTAAAATGAGTCACAGGGTCAATCTCACTCTCTGAGCACCACAAGCAGTGATCAGACATCAACATCATTTTTAGCTAGTGTGCTGTAGGTGTTACGTAAGAGTAAAGGGGTCTGTCTATAAATACACGAGTTCATAAGTATTCTCACTGATGAGCGATGCATCCAATGACTAGAGCTAAACCCTTACTTCTATAAGAACATTGTCACCTATATTGAAACATTTCCTGGATTAATGTCCTTTTTGAAAATGATAATTTAAACAAGCGTATGCTACAAATACATTAGAAATTACCTGATTCGTTGTTTGAACATATGACATAAAGTTCACAAAAACCCAGAACACATTTGCCGTATATTCATTCTCTCTGACTACTGAACTTTGAAACACTGAACATAATGAAGTAATCTGTCCAGTGAAGGAGACTAGTACATTAACATAACAAAGCTATACCACACATGCCCAATTTGACAAAAGTCTGACAGAAGTTTGACGATATCGTTGAAATATTTTATCGTGTCTACCACATAGTATTTGCTTGGTTTTTTCTGATTGTACTTTGTTTATGCCAACGATAATTATTCGAGAGGCAATTCCACACAGCTGACGCTTATATTATTAAAATTCTTTTCATTTACCCATATTTTAGAAAACTCACTTTTAACTTTACATTGGCTTTTCAATAGACCTCGTTTATTTATCTATTTCGCTATATATTTTTTGTCTGCTAGGTTTGAAAGTATTGTTTTACATAAAACATTTATCTTTTCTCATATCTCGTCTTTCTTTGTGCTTGTCGTTTGAGAATCTCTTTTTACATAGAGAAAATAATTTTCTTCTTTTACGACGATTCCTTTTCAATAATCGCTTGCTTTCCACTTATATTCTTTTTAATATTTCCTCTAATACTGAGTTATAACCACAGAATTTTAATCTCTTTTTCTCTATGCTTCTTTGCTATAATGTTGATTTATACTTATTTATTGTGCTAGCTTTATTAAGTTTTTGAATTAATGTTATGATTAATGAAGAAGAGAATATCACTTCATTTAGACAAGTTAAATTCAAATCAATATTTTTACTATTTCTTTATTCTAATAATGTGTTTTGTTATTATGTCATGTCTTTATAAATATTTTTTTTCTTTTCAATATTTCTTCAACGTATTTATCATTTGTATAATTTTCTCTGATCTTTTTATTCCCAATTCTTGTCTATTTTTCATCTACATTGATCTTCCTGATTCCGCATTATTCAGTATATCACCTGGTATTCTTACATCACCTGTATTTTCAGTTCTAATATTCATTAACACTAACTCAATATATAATTCCGTTTTAACATTTTCTTCGAATTCAGCGAACTCTACTTTAGTCAATCAAACACACACACACACACACACACACACACACACACACACAATTTGGTTTTTTTTTAATTAAATATTACTTTTAATATTCATTTAGTATCTACATTCTCGCTGCATTTTCTTTGTTTTTGGTAACACTTTGATGATTAGTGAGACAGTATAGTCCTATATCTTTCTTATAATCTATTCTCGTCCAATTTTACCCACTCTATCTCATTTTCATGGTTACTAGTAGATATTGAGTAAAAAGAAATCATTTAGAATCATCCACTGATGATATCCATTTCTACGGTTGGAGTAATATATTTTTTCGACTCTAAACTAGTTTCACCTTTTGATGTCTCCTGAACCACACGATGGTTAATACAGGATAAGGATTATCTTAATTCCAGTTATAGTTAATGTGGTTGTTATGTCTGTTGATTTTTCTCATTGATACAATCATTTACCAAACAAGTCTTTCACCTGAGATCCAAGGTAAATATAGATTTATCTTATAAAATCTTTCAATAAGATCCTAAGTATATGTACAGTAGTCCTTAACAATATTAGAAGGTTTCTATACAGCATAGTAATATTCCTGCATAATTTCTTTATAACTATCTCTAACCTTGTCCAATTTACACTTTTCTCTATCTTATGGTCTATCTTAGTGAATGTTGCTTTAGGATTTCTTTGATTTTGGTAACACTGTTCTTTGAAGATTAGCGTACAAGTATAGTGTTATATTTTTTCATATAATCCATTTTACCGATTTCCTTTTTCCTTGGTTATCCGTAGATATTGAATGGAGATTGCTATATTTTTTTTATTATTTGGTGGGGAGGATCGCCCGCTGATAATATTCATTGACGTTGGGATTTTACTTAAATACTTCTTTTGAGGAGCGCTCTTTTACAACTGAATGTCATTTTCTTCTTTTATATTATATTTACGCTTAATTTTAAAGAATTTCTTGCTTTCCGCTTTTACTCTTTTTTACCTAATATTCATACTCCAATCTCTCTCTCTATCTCTCTCTCTCTATCTCTCTTTTTATACGATAATGTTGTGTTATGCTTATTTCTTAGGTTTACCCTTTGTTTGCCTCGGTCTTTGAACTGATGTTATAACTACTGAAGAAATGTTTCTTCCTTTATTTAGCTTGGTTAAATTCAAATCAATATTTTTACAATTTAGTCTTTCTAACATTATATCTAATATTTAGAGGTCTGCCCACAAAACTCCAATATCTTTCTCTCTTTTTATACCGTAATGTTGAATTCTGCTTATTTCTTAGGTTCAGCTTTTGTTTGCTACGATCTTTGAACTAATGTTATAACTACTGAAAAAGAGTTTGTTGCTTGAATTACACTGGTTAAACTGAAATCAATATGATTAATATTACTTTAATTGCTTTACATTCCTGATCAAAAATTTAAGACCACTAGAAAAAAAATTTAAAATATCTGTTTTTCATGGAAAAATTTTAAACATTTCTTACTTAAGGTTACTAATTTTATAATCTAAAAGGTTATGTAGGCAAAAAAGTTATAATCCGAACATTTTATTGAGATTATTGTTTAAGGTTGACGGACACGCATGTCTTAATTATTTTTATTTTTTTTTTATTTTTTTTTTACGAATTGGTCAAACCCAAACTCAAACAAAAACATTGTTTTCAATCGTTATGAGTCTATCGATTGAATAGAATTTTATTATAAACAATTGTCTTG